ATGTGTCTCCTTGTCCGTGGTATCAAATCTCTCATAGATGATCCTGATGATGGTCGCCCAATCCATTATTGGAACAATACTAACTATGGTGCCATTTAGCTCACCAATTGGCTAGTCACAAGGTATGGGCCTTGAAAGCAAGTAATGCGGCTAAGGAATCAAGCGAGATACACCATACGCCTCCTATGTTGAATGTTGGTGGAATTGTGACGCCGATATTGGAATATTGCAAGATCAAGCTAGGTACTCCCCTTGAAGGTTCATCACGGATTGATGCTTGTCACCTCTCTAACACTGATTACTTATCCGGTGGTGTTCTTGGTAAGTTTGCCTACCGGTTTTACCAAGGTCCAATTATCCTTCCTAATACCACTATTACTTCGATTCTTGTGCGAGACAACATCATCTTCAACCCACTAATCGAACTTCTCTATGAACAATCTATGGAGTTACCTCTCATAACACTTAAGCCGAACAAGAGAAGGAAGACAAGGAAAGCACAAGTTAATGAAGATTGTTCTCCTCCACCACTCTCCATTTACGGGAGTAAACGGTACCACCTACCTCCATTGGATGTCCCTCTACATTCAACCGTGGAACGTCATTCCTACCGAAGTGTCCATCTCTTACAAAGATGGTGTAAATGGCAAGATCGAACAATCTACAAGCTTTGCAAGTCGGTGAAAGGGTTGAAGCGGCAAGTGAAAGAACTCACAAGCCAAGTCAATGTACTTACAAAGAAGCTTCATGGCTCGAGTTATCGTTCCCGAGAAGCGTTAGTTCTGGACTCCGATGAAGAGAATGAATTGGCACCCATGGAAACCGAGGAGACAATACAAGCTCTACAACGCAATTTTATTTCCGGAGAATCTTCCTCTTTTGATATTCCAATGGAACCCATTCGCCCATCTTCCTATGAACGGAGACCAACAAATAAAAGAGTGAGTAGCCCGACTCCAACTCCATCACCGAGTTCAAGCAACCCCTCTCTCCAAGTTTCAGATTCGAAAGAATCCGAGACCTTCTAGAGGTACC